AGACTCCAGCCAGAAACAGGAAAAGACCATTGAACCAGATGCCCCAGGAACTTGTGAGGATGAATCCCAGCAGTGATAAGGCCGACAGGAGGGACGACACTGCTGTCCCTGTGAGTGAGCGGCCCCAGAACACACTGCACAAAAACAAACAGTACTGAACACTAGTAACATAAATCTAAATCAACTATCGGTTTATTATCTAGAACACATTTACCAGTAATACAAAGGGATGCAGTACCATGTTCATCCTCTCATGCCTGTTGGGAGTAGGCAACAGTTCTAGCAAGACTAATGGTTTCAATCATATGTACAAGTTAAGGATTTTGATATTTCACAAGCAGGGTGTAGAATTTCTAAACCTCCCTCCCCTCACCCCACACACCTACATGACACTGATTCCTCTCCTCCAGTATTTACTTGAAAATGAATAAAAAAAGGAAATTATTAGATGAAAAAGAAAACTGTCACTCTATCTTGAACCTACAGGTCTAGGAAAGAGAAATATCTGATATGTCATAAGCTGACTACCATCTCACTTAGGACATCTCTATATTATACCCACAGGTATTGAGGGGAGTGGGGAGTCCGTCATTTGAGAGTGTATGACAAATATATCCCATATATGAAATAAAAATACAATAAATTGTTTGGGGACAACACAAAAATGGTCTTTTTGATAGCAATGATTGAATATAAATGTATTCAATAAGATTCATCAATTTGGAAGTAAGTTTTACTTTAAGCACAAACAATGTACGTGTTAAACGTGTTTCAACGTTTCAAGACTGACTGCATGGTCCCTTTGTCTAGCTCAACAAAGCTTGACAAAGGGACCAGTTGGTCTTTAAACGTCAGAATGCGGGGAGTGGATTAAAACTGCAATATTTTAATTAATAGTTTGATCGACCACCTGGTCGAACATTTTTGTTTTGACACATGTATAGGTAATATATCAATTAAGTAATAAATCAGGGATCGGTGGCCAGGTCGTGATTATATAATCAAATTGTAATCACAGTTATATCATGACAATATACACGTCTGTCAGCAATTTGACGGTAACATTCCCCGCTCTGTGTACTGTTAGAATATACATGGTCAGGACCTAAAGATGTTTGACTGGCCCATGCACATGTTTACTAGAAAGAAAATCAATCATCAGCGACATGTGGTATATTTCTGTACAAATTGTCCGACATCAATGACAACAATGGTCGCACTTCATGAGTACTACCAGTTAATCAGTAGTTAAATGCTGTAGATGCGAAAATAGATCAGTATATATATATAAGAGAGTTTCGCAAGGCTATAATTGCCGATAGTCAACCTGGATTTCAGTACACAAATTGTGTGTTAGAACAATCCGAAACGTGTGTAAGCAGGGTTCGAACTATCACTTGACAGAAAATTATTATTTTTATTATTCAAAAAGTGTGTTTGAACTGTCCGCCTATTCGAACTGAACGGAGGTTTACCGTACATTGTTTGTGTTTAAATTATAAGTAAAACTTTGATATTAGAATGTAAGTACAGTTTTAACATTCTTTTACAACAACTGATGGGATAAAGACCCACATTTTCTCCCCTAATACCATTATTATCATGTAATATTTGACCTCGTAAATACTGGACAGTGATTTTGATCACATCATCATCACATCATGTTTAATTCATTGGCAAAAGATGGCGAGACAGGGAGGCATTTTATTGTAATACAGGGGCTCGGCATACAAATGTTAACAACTTTTCTATAACCCACTATTCATACATAATCAATTATAAGCCCCTTCCTGCCACTCCTCCCATATGTTCATATCTTAAAGCATGAGAATTAAAACTGAAAAAAAATCTGTAATTTCCATAAATATTTCCAATTATCGTACTTACGCGTCTATTACAAAACCTATGGCTGCACTTCCGAAAACTCCTCCAATTTCAAAAATTGTTGAAAACATCCCAGCTTGAGCTTTGGAGTATTGTAACTGAAACATTGCATGTCAAACAAAGTGCAATTCATTATTATTGCATAACAAACACAGATGTTAAAATCACTTTTACATGATACAAGGGCTAATACTTTACTACTGTAAATAATTATGAAATAACACAAACTTTATATTTATTACAACATTTATGAAACAAGTTTTTACGACTTATATTCATCACTCTTGTTGGCCCTAATGTAAGCTTGCTAGGGGTCTTATTGTGGGAGGAAACCGGAGTACCTGGAGAAAACCCACGTGGTTGGGCAGATTACTCCCAAACCATAAATAGGGTTCATGCCTTTGTAAATCATATGATATGTTGTTCATACAGATATGGGAGTTCATATTTCTGTAAATCATTCTGATACGATGGTCCCTCACACCACATTATTGGTAATATTTCAGGACAAATATATATTTCCGCATGGATTCACAAGGTGAGCAAATCCTGAATTAAAATTATCTTGTGTACACTAGATGAAGCAATATGCACCCATTACCATTTATCATACTTCACAAATATTCATCTAAAGCAAAATTGCAAAAAAAAAATATTATTAAAACTTACATGGTCTAATAAATAAAGTGGTAGCCACATGTACATACAGTAGCGGACAACCTTCAGACAAAACACAGCAACAGCTACTTCAGCCAGCATCCTAGAAAATCACCACAGAAATCTCATCAGGTAATCATAATCATCATATGTCAATCTTGTACTTTCACACAAAAAAAAGGGTTTTAAACACTGATTTGAAAAGGTATGAAATAGATTACCATATTTTTCAGAGTGAATAAATCTGAGTGGATAGAAATTCATGTACAAAACTGCTACAATGTCAAACGTTTTAGTGATTCTGACAGTTCCCCATCCACCCGCACCTTACAGACAGAAATAGTCCAAGTACAATCAACTGCTACAATGTCAAACGTTTTAGTGATTCTGACAACACCCTATCCACCAGAAACTTGTGTATATTACAAGGCTTTGAACTGTTTCCAGTAAAACCTGGAGAACTAAATGAAGCTTCAGTTGTGTTGTGATTGCCCATTTGATTTGATTTTATATTTTTAAAATTTGAAACTGATCAGGGTGAACTCACGGAATTTTCCACAACTGTATCCAAGGTATTTTTCCAGCTTTTTTTGAAGAGGTTGCATTTGCAGGAGCTACAACAAAAAGGATTGTATAAGAAACTGTCAATTCATTAATCTATGCTACTAAATTAGAATCCTTTAACCGAAACAATATAATATCTTGTTTTTACACACCGTACCCTATATCTTATTGAAAATAATCTCACCAGGTGATTTTTATCGACGATGAAAAATTAAAAATATAAAATAAAATAAAAACAACAAAGAAAAAACTGGGTAATTTTACAGTGTTTAGTTTGAAACTTTTTTGGAAGAACAAACGTTTGATCATTCTTTTGTCATTTGTGTTCTATAATTCTTTCTAATGACATGTTTCATCAAATCAAACAAAGTTGAAATGAACTGCATATAATTTGTCTTGAGACCAATTGAGGTGTATACCCTATAAAACTCATAAGAACAGGATTCAATCCTTAAATGACTTTGTACCTGGGTACACAATTGTGATATCATTACGTCATAACCTAACGACTATTACCTGTGCTTCACCTGTACCAGGTACACAATTGTGATATCATTACGTCATAACCTAACGACTATTACCTGTGCTTCACCTGTACCAGGTACATAATTGTGATATCATTACGTCATAACCTAACGACTATTACCTGTGCTTCACCTGTACCAGGTACATAATTGTGATATCATTACGTCATCACCTAATAATATAATTCATGTACCTGTTGTTTCACCTTTACCAGGAACCTCCATACCAACTTCATCTGGTTGTTGAAAAAACAGAAGCACCAGCACACCTAGAACTCCCTGTAAACACCATAACATCACAGGTAAACCGCTCATGTATGTTTCAATGTAAATCAATTCAGACCCTATTGTACGTACAATGTATACATACATGTAAGCGGACACTCATCTTCACAGGAATTAAAGTTAAACATATACTGTATTTCATTCAGATGGCAGGGTTTCCTAGATTTTTGTAATTGAGAAAAACTGTAACTCTTTTAACAATGAAATCAATCTTATTCTAAATCTGTGGTTGATATCATGCAGATAAACATATATTAATGATAAACACACATTATATACAATTTAATTCTGATTCCAGGATCCCAGACTTATGAGATTTTAGGTACTGTAATTGTTTCTGTACATAATATGGCACAAAATTACCTTTATGAAATTTTGTAACTTTCGGGCTATTGCATTTAAATATATACCCCACTCAAAGATATGAGGGTAATTATAACATGTTCTCAAGCCTAACCAATATATTTACACAGGAATGAAACCACAAGAGCAATGACAAAAAAGCCCCCACTATAAGTAATAACACCGTCAGGTCATTAAGGTCCTGTCATGTGCCTGACTGTCCCCCTCCCTGGTCAATTTTTAGTAACTTTGGCCTTGACCTTAAAAACTTTTTAAACTCCTATTGCATATCAACATATTCATGCATGTATCACCATGTCAAATTAATTAAAAAAGATCAGTCTTTTGGATTCCAAGATAAGGACTCTACCTCTCCCCTGCAATGGTCTTCTTTTTTATTGACAGTGTCCTTGAACTTAGAAACTTTTAAAATCTTTATTGCACATCTACATATTAGGTAATACCTAAAAAATCAATGGTAACGTTCACCTCAAACTTGTCATCATATGTCGGAATGAAATCTATTTTAAAATGCGATATTCTTGGTTGTGATGCATATGTTTGTGGAACAGCCACAATTATATGCTACATGTAATTTGTGCAAGAGTAACGTCCCTTACTTTGAATAAGATGCAGAATTAACCAAGTCCAAATCTGCACACATTAAATATTTCCTACAGGCTTATTACATTAGCATTAAATCTAACAGGTGAATGTCACAGTATAGTAACCTACCAGGTATATCTTAATTTACTACCAGACAAATGTGTTTACCACACTGAGTGTATACCACGGACAAGTATAGGAATTATAACATACCACAAAAGCTGAAGGCAGAAGAAAGGCACTTCTCCATCCATATGATGATTGCAAATATACCTGTTCAATATAAAGTCTTGTTTGAGTGTGCAGCAGCTTGAATAACCTGGGTAATAGCTATATACATTAACCCAATGCTATTTCATAGAACAATGATGGATTCTCACACTTAGGTATATCACACCATCTACAGTGTACATATATACAGCCTGGTAATGGTCATGTTAGTTTCATTTCACAAATACATTCAGTTTTCATTAGATATACTTATACTATACATAACAGACAAATTCTGATAATGACAAAAATGCCAGAAATACAAATTTTAAATAATATAATCCAACACCAGGTAAATACATAGAGGAAACATATTTCACTAAAATTGCTTTTTTCTGATAATAGGAAGCAAAAGTTGCAAAATGTCTGGTGAAATGTATATTGACATAAAAGTGTTTTAATTAACCACGAAAAAAGAAAAAAGAATCACTTACCGCCAGCCCTGTTCCCATGATACCGCCAGCGAAGGCACATGTTCCGAACATTCCAAATATGGAGTTTCTCACCCTGTCTGGGTACCAGGCTCCAAGACTCTTCATGCAGTTTGGCCAGCATTGTGACTGTTGAAGCAATATTATTCCATTAAGGTAATAGGAGAATTTCTTCAAATTTTGTAGTTATATTGCTTTGAAGTAAAGAACATTTTCTGCCACATAAAAAATATAGGTTGTCAGAATTTTAAGGATTTTAAATGGAAATTTATGTAAAAAGGAATGAATTTTGAAAAAAAAATGAAACACAACTTTTGCAAAATAATGTCAATAAAAATGATACTGACATAGACTAGTATTGCATTAATGTCTATCACTTCATAAATACTAAAATTGTGTAAAATTAATTATCTATAAACGATTAAATTTTTTATAATAAAACCATATACACATAGTTATTGCATGTAAGAGTTATCGTTCTTGAAAAACTTCACAGTAGTGAAATAGCTAGCCGGTTTCCTGAAGTACAGAAAAATGGACACATGTGACTCATTGATTAAAAAACAACTGAATTAAGGAGGCTTCACCCTTTCACAATTAGCCAGCATAATTCAATGAAAGTTTCACATAATGGTTATATAACTATGCAGAGATGATTTTATGAAAATCTAATCATTACGATAAACTGGGGATTTTTTGTAAAAAATACTGAAAATTTGAATTTTTGTCAAATTCAACACTTCTATATTTTTTGAGTGTGTGGCATTGTTCAAAACTATCACAACAATAAAATAATGAAAAGAAACATTGCTAATCAACCCAACAAATGTTTTATTTATCATAAAATATCTACAACATGTTACAAAAAGCGTTTTTTATTGAAATTGTATGGATAAAAGTTACAAAATACAAGCTTAAAGCAAACAGGACACATAGTTTCATACAAAAAGAGTAAAAATTTGAGCCAAATAGTGAAATACACACAAAGTCTTTACAATTCATTTATTTTACATTTTACATTCATTTTGATCCTGATGAGAGTTGTCTACCTTGAAAAAAATCGGAACGTTTTGGAGAGGGATAGAATTTTTATAATGACACTTATTTTCTTTGCTATACCAAAAATGAGGGAAATATATTTAATTGTTAATTTACTGTCCTTTTATGAAACAAAATTACTCTCAATCATGTACACTTTGGACATCATTCCATAGCCCGCCTAAGCATGATGTATTTACATGTTAGGTACTTAGGTAACCATAGGCTATCGCATGGTATGCCGTTATCACGTGCACGCACATGCACCTGCAATTTATAGGTATCTTGATATTTTACAAACTACTATTATCACAGAGTTATTGTAATTGCATTTGTGAAACGATTTATCTGACAGAGCGTAACTCGCTCGACAACAAATGTTGTAGAGACCGAGAGCTTGTGAACTACTGTTAGCACTTGATACGTACAGGTGAGGTCGGTAATCAAAACACATCAGTCTGCATTCCATGCGCCTCATATACGACCATCTTGAAGTCGTCTGATCTTATTTCAGTATCTTCCCATGAGTTAATTAATGTCTTTGTATCATAAGCTTTATTTCTGAAGTACGTGTGATTACACATTTCCAAGTTAAGTCTCGATATCGGGTGTTGACATATCATCGTCACGCATGTGTACTATTGTTTACCCGGTGTTACTATAATTTACACTACAGTAATAGAATGCCCGATACGCAATATGGAAATGACGACACAAAAATACGACAAGAAAAGCATGTGTATTACGAAGGGTGGGAAGTCCTAATGCCTGGATTGCTTTGAAATACTTTTATACTGAAAGAACACACTGTTCTGTCAATAATAAGCATACAATATTCATCAGTTTAATATTAAACATTAGAATATTCGGAAATTGTTATACTGTCTCCCTACATTGGATTTTCAACTAGAGATGTACTTCCTATTTCCGTTTAGCAATACACTCCTATGACCTTAAGGCCACACACTACTTTATACTCTTATCTGTGACTTGTGTCTGAGTTATCTCCCTTAAGGTAAGGTTAGCTCTCACAGGGGGATAATTCTTACCTCCAAAACAAAATCACTTGTGCGTTTGATTCTTAAGACACATTGAATGAACATATAAAACAGCGTCTTCTGTCAAAACGGATGGACGGAAAAATACAAAAGAAAGGTTTAAGAAAACAGGACTGAATGCTGTAACACTCAAAGTGACACTCGTTTGGCAGCTCTTCCTCAAATTGTGTTATGTGAGGTTATGCACATGTGAAACGGTAGACGATAAGAACGTTACCAACTCAGGTGATTGGAATAGGGAAGGTAAGTGGTCAAAATGAGGGTCCTTGATAAAAATATGTTTTGAAGCAGTAGTGATACCCACAGAAATCCACTTCATCTTTCTGTTGTTATGGGAAAGGACAGTGCAGGCGGTGCTCAAAATAATCTGTTTGAGTGTTTTAACGAAATTGACATCTTTAACTTTGAATATTGGTCAAAAGACAATTTTGAGCCCTTGACCATGAAGACCTTAAATATAGGTCAATGTCATTTCTTTTCACAAAATGTGTATCACTCGAAGTCAGCAGGCTACTGATCTCGTATCATGAGACTAGGCCTTTTGGCATTTTGAAAATTTTAATCCCCAATATTCACCAAAATGTGAGATTTACTTTAAGATGAAGAAGACCATTTCATCAGCATTCGTTTATAATATTATTTTCAAACTGTCATATTTTATTAATAATAACAGAAATTTTAACAAATATCTGTGTTTGTAGTTGTGTAAAATGCCTTAGGTTGAATAATTTGATCTCTGATTGTGATCGGTCAGCTTACCTGTGCAGCTCCATTCATGAACAGTAAAGCAGCAAATACATAAAAATTACTCCACTGGCCAAACGTAAACTGAAAAATAAACCAACGTATATACATGGTACATGTAGATGGTTTTTATTCTAGATTCAGATTTTGTTTTGTTATTATATATAGGGTAAATGGGTAATATTTCCTTTTCATTTACCACATTGACCCATATCTGTAAGGATCAGACAAATTCCATATGTCCTCTGAGATCACCTAACATACCAAAGAAATAGCTGAAAGGATCAGACAAATTCCATATGTCCTCCGAGATCAGTTCTAACATACCAAAGAAATAGCTGAAAGGATCAGACAAATTCCATATGTCCTCTGAGATCAGTTCTAACATACCAAAGAAATAGCTGAAAGGGTCAGACAAACTCCAAATGTCCTCCGAGATCACCTAACATACATGTACCATAGAGATATGTGAAAGGATCAGACAAACTCCAAATGTCCTCCGAGATCACCTAACATACATGTACCATAGAAATAGCTGAAAGGATCAGACAAACTCCATATGTCCTCTGAGATCACCTAACATACCATAGAGATAGCTGAAAGGATTAGACAAACTCCATATGTCCTCTGAGATCACCTAACATACAATAGAAATAGCTGAGAGGATCAGACAAACTTCATATGTCCTCTGAGATCACCTAACATACCATAGAAATAGCTGAAAGGATCAGACAAACTCCAAATGTCCTCCGAGCACCAATTTTGTCTCCTATATTGCCAAGAAGCATCTGAAAATAAAACAAACATCGTTTTAATGAGATCACAAGGTAGTACAAAGCAAGCAATTCTATCAATAAAAGATCTACATTAGATCTTAGTAAATGTACATGTAGATCAGATCTTTCCTCTTCTGTTTTCTGACATATTGGATTGATGGTCATATTAAAAGTAAAAAGATTTTGTGGTATCTTTAATATCAAAAACAATAAAATGTTTTAGAATGGATGACAGACAGATAGACAAACATTCAAATGGACTACAGATGAAAGGTAATTTGCACAGCCCTCCATCTGATATTGGTTGGCAGAAAGCTAGTGCTTTTCTTTCAAGAATCTACCAAGCATATGTTACAGCGATAACTCCCCCTTTTTAGCGGTGATTTACATATTTAAATTTGAAATGAACATATCTTCAAATGAAATGTTCGGCTATATCATTGCATTGTACACATTTATGGAGAAGAGGAAAAATAAGAATAATTGTATCAATCATTGATATTCATATGACACAGATCTTTCAGTATTTAGCTAAACAGAATTAAGTCATGTTCAGACCAATTACTAATTGTGTTAGTCTCCAGCAGAATTAGGGACAATATATATTGTCCCACTCTCTGTTTTACTGTTTTTCAAACTTGTTTTACAAATTTTTTGCTTTTAATGTGTAGTTTGATATAAATACCCAGTAAGTGTTATTGTTGGTCCAATTTTACCCAATTTAGGGAGATTATTACTTTTGACGTTAACATGCCTTATAAGCCATTTCTTACAGATAATTAGCTATTGTATTCAAACTGGTTTGAATCTTACCTGTACTAAAGCGTATGGTAGAAGGAGAGCCGTGTCCAGCCATCCTAGCTGTGTTTTAGATATGTGTAAATCTGTCTCTAGATCTGTCTTCACCTTCAAACCAAAACATTCAGATATGTAGTACACTTGTATACATTTGACGAATAATGCAACAATAATCTATTCTGGTTACAAAGGTGGTACATTGGTTGCAAATGCATGCCCTCCTAATCTAAAGGAAGCTTGCTATAGACTCTCAAGATAATTCTTCCTCCTCATGACTTTTGAAATGAACCGAGATCCCTGCATCTTGAGTTTTTCTCCAATTCAAATTATTCATCGCACAGAAAAGCTTAAACAACTAAAATATTACGCTATACAAAGAGACCTAACTCTGTACAGTAGTCAACAAAAGAAAAATGTACATCTACATCGGCTACATTCGTGTATCCGGTTGAAACGGTACGTGTGTCGCAGAAATATTCCACGATAAACGACGCACTTGGACCGTTCTATAAGCAGAGCTAAAAATGCACAGTTTCGGATTATAAAAAACTTGTATCAAGAATAGTATACCCTTCTTTCATGCGTCCAATGAATTACGTAACGTATCTTAAAACCTACATGTGGCTTGACATTGTTTTAGAAAGAAATACCGCAAACTAGCAATAGTCAAACTTTTAGTTTCGGTGCAGGTACGTCTGGACCCCTCAATCTACACGTGCAAAATTTTCCTGAGGTCAGCCTCGGTCCAGATCTGTGCCTGCCGTTTTCTTTACAGGTTCAACAGTTTCAACCGTTTCAACCTGATATGTGAATGTACCCATAGTATTCATTGAAGGGACATCACTCTGAATTTAAGTTGACATTTCTCAGTATGAGTCACAGTAAGGATCATATATAACTTTGTAGGTGTCAAATTTAAGAAACATGCATATATATGTATGTTTGGCGATCAATTTAAGGGACATAACTCTGTATGGTATTGGCCATGGGTTAAAGGGACATAACTCTGTATGGTGGTCAATCGCAAGGACATAACTCTGTGTGGTAATTAATGAAAGGACATACAAAGATGTACCTTTGGTAGTCAATGATCATGAAGGTTCATACAATGTAGGATCTGTCTATAGATAACCAGAATATCATATGCGTAGTCAAGGGGAATAACTATGTCTTACTACCTCTCCACCAGGTGGCAATACACCACATGGGCTTCAGTTCTTTTCTTGACAGTTTATTTAAATATCATTGATAAATAGCATTGCTTGTGCACATAAAACATGTCAATATGCAGCATTACATCAGTGTAGGTATATTCATTCATAAACAAGATAATGGAAATTTTGTTTATGTACATGTAGTTAGTATTTCCTTATGACGTATGACTTAAATAAATTTTATTCAATGTTCAAAAGAGAAACATATATCCATCCAGATGATTTTGAGATTCTAAGAGTAACAAATTAAATATTATACATGTATCTAAAGCTATACACCGACAGAAAAAAGACTTCGAAATAAAAAAACTAAACAAATGTAAGTAAATTACCACGCCTAATGGCTTCCTTAGAAAGTATGTAGAAGCATAGGCCATCCATCCCAGGCAAAACACCAACAGCTGCCGTCTGTAAAGTGGTGTCTTGAAAATGGCTGTTATACAACAACCTGTAAAGAGAAAATACTTCAGTTAGGTGGTCAAATGAATGGACAACCTCTAGCTGTGTGGTATGTTGTCATTTGAAAGGACATACATTTTACCTCTACTGTATGGTATTCATATTGAAGAGACTGAACTCTTTATGGTATTCAAATGAAGGTTTGTACCTGTACTTGTGTATATATATAGAGTAGTGACATACCTGTCAACCCTCTCTCATTAGTAGGGAGACTCACTCATTTTGACGAAAATTTACCAATCTCCTTCAAAAGTCTCTCATTCAATTAAGTCAAAATTCACACAAACTAAAAATCTACATCCTGTGGTCAAATGATCTCTTAGTTACTGCGCAGGGTGTGTAATGATCATTACAGGTGTGTCTGAAGCAAATGAATGCTTTTTTTAAGTTATTTTTGATATAAAAGAGAAAAGATAAATGAGCAAAGCACAGTTTCTGAGTGAGTTGCATTTCACAAACTTTCTCCCTCATTGGAAATGAGGTATGAGGGAGATCTTCCTCATTGGAGGTTTCAGAGGCTGACACTTATGATACGTAGTGAATAGATGAGACTTGCATCTGAATCATATTACGAACTCAGAATTTTTTTACTACATTACCTTGCAAGGATATACCATTAATATATATAAATAATTAATTGATGGTACAAGTTTTTGACTCTTTGTAAAGAATCACCTCAATTAATACAACTTGTGATAAGTACTAGATACTAGCTATAAAATATAGATGCATGCATCGATCATCTCATATCAGAAAAAAAACACTTGCATCAAACTATACATTTAGAAATAATTTAAAATATGATGTCTAATTTGTTTAAATGTTTTGTTGACAGTAAAAAACACATGTCGATGTGTCAAGTGTGTCTATTTTGAGAATTTATTTGTCTTTACTTTTCTTACTCAATCATTACAATAGCAATATGAACATGTTGCATGGTTACTAGATTATAAATGTAAATTTAAGCGTATAACGTACAAATCTGATTAATCTCTGTGAATGAAACATTTCAGGGAATCGTTTTTTATCACTGACTTGAAGGAGATTCCAGAAAACTTCCAAAGTATCAAATTTCGCAACTTATTGGTATAAAAAGTCTACTGAGTAATGATCATGACAGTACTGTATCCCCCGGACCTTGACATAACGTCTGAACGTAACAATTCGATATGCCCAGTATGTCAGTTACGTTACTTAGAACAGAGTACGACCGTTTTAAGTTCATTGTATTCCTACCATCCCTAGGGCCTTTCGGTCGGCCAAGCGGTGTCTTCATAACCATTTTTAAGAGTGAACCAAGTCAACTGAAAAAGGCGTTTTCCAAAGTCAGTTTGTTGACATGTGGATGATGGTTTACGTATGTCGTAAAACTTTATAAAAAAAATATCAAAAGAAGTTCAGCATTACGCTTTCATTATTCACCTTTTTAATTTCCTTGCAAAATGGACAAGCTATATTAAATGTATTGATAAGGCTTGAGAGGATGGTCGATTTGCAGCATACTGAAAAACGGAGCAAACAGGAAGTAAACAAGTAAGAGTTGGATCTAAAAATAGATGTTTTGTTTATTTTCATTTTGGGTATATATATGCTCCGATCAAGCATAACGTGTCGATGCCATGCAAATTAAGACGTGTCTATTATAATTTTTATTCTAGTTTGAAATTGCATCAGTTACTAGATATTAAAACGCTGTAAACACATGCGTTTTGAGTTGGTATAGTGTGATCACGCTCTGCACATGTGATTATATAACATCCGAGCGCTCGCCTTCGTGATCAGGTGATGATCACGGTCCGAATTTGAATGACAGACAGTGCATCAACGTGCTGGGCTACATGTGAGTAAGCCATATTTTGATGAAACACTTAAGTAGGTTGAGCACAAGCCCGCATATAGGTAATAATCTTGCATTTGCAACTTGCCGAGTTTCCTCTAGCCACTATACGCAGTAGACACTACACGGCCTCTTATTTTTATGTTGTAGCCAATATGAGTAGCCGTAGGGGCCTGGGCCCGTATTCATGAAACAGTTCTCATGTTCCAGTATGGAATTTGTGCTTAAGCCTAATTTCTTGTTCCGGTTATAACTTGATAATACAATTTCATTTTTTCAATGATTTGGAAAAACTTTGAAGAGACTTAAAGTCGAATACTGTTTTCAATGATTTCATTCGAAGTTTTGTTGGGTGCGACGAATCACCGAAACGGACCGAAACGGACCGAATCGGACCGAAACGGACCGAAACGGAACCGAAACGGACCGAAACTAAACCGAAACAGAGTCGAAACTAAACCGAAACGGAGTCGAAATGGAAACCATAAGCTATTTAAAGGGAGTTCAATACAGTTTAGATTGTTTTTGAACAAAACTGACCCCGATCGGAACCGCAAAGGAAGTGTTAATGGTTTTTTTTTGGTAAATCTTTATTTGTCGTGTATATATTGTGTATATTATATAAGCCAAATACATACAATAATGGCATGTATCTATGTTATATAAATACAAGCACATGACTAGATACCCAATTATAAGAAAGGCAATTATATTGAATGGAGTGACGAGACATCACTTGTCTTGAAACGTTACGTTAAATTCCCTCTTTTATTTATTTTTTCTCCGTTGAAGTTCTTGGCTCATTTTGATTATATTTTCAATTTATTTAACGCTTAAAATATTGATAAAGTTGTCCATTTAAATGAGCCATCCATACTTATCTCAGCATAAAAAAATACTTGAGACGGTATAAACACATTGTTAAATTTTGTATAAATGGTTTTACGATCTTAAATGGATAATTATATCAACATTTTCAACATAATTGTGTTCTATTTCTGTACCGAATTTTTGGAAATGAGTTAGTCTTCTTTTCCTTCTTATTTTGTTTAGTTTTGTCTAGAGAATGTGAAGCTGAAGAACAAATTAATATATCGTACTGTAAAAGGAATCGAATTGTAAAATGGAATACTTTGAAAGCATGTCACTGTTGAAAAGAAGACAACGAAATTAAATAAACTTAACGTTTTAATATATATAAACAAGCAAATAAAAAAATACATATATAAGATGTATGTTGAAAATAAAAGGTCAGGTGCACCCGACGAGATGACGAAGGATATATAAAATAAATAAATAATCTCCGTTTCGGTTTAGTTTCGGTCCGTTTCGGTTCCGTTTCGGTCCGTTTCGGTGCCGTTTCGGTCCGTTTCGGTCCGTTTCGGTTCCGTTTCGGTCCGATTCGGTCCGTTTCGGTGATTCGTCGCACCGGTTTTGTTCGTTTGACATGATTTAAGTGAGTTACCAGAATGTTGGTTTGAGCACAAAATCTATGCTTGAGCATGAGAACGGTTTCATGAATACGGGTCCAGGTCGTTTATGCGAAACAACCTGTTTGTCCGTTTTTAATCGAACAATTTTGGGTATAAATCTTGGCGGACCTGCAAATGTTTATTCAGGCCTGTTAAGGCAGAACAGATTACTAGGTCCAACCTTTTTTAGGTCACCTGAGACAAAGTAAACAATTTACATTTTCGACTTCTTCTCCAAAACCCCAGAACCAATTTCAATGAAATTTTGCAGGGACCTTCCATGGACAAAGGTCAACAATAATAGTTGCCGGTTTAGTCCTAAGCCCCCAGGGGCCTGAGGGGCGGGGCCAAAAAGGGTCAAATTGACTAAAATTTCAAAAATCTTCTCCAAAACCCCTGAACCAATTTCAATGAAATTTTGCAGGGACCTTCTATGGACAAAGGTCAACAAAAATAGTTGCCGGTTTAGTCCTAAGCCCCCAGGGGCCTGAGGGGCGGGGCCAAAAAGGGTCAAATTGACTAAAATTTCAAAAATCTTCTTCTCCA